CAAGCTGGGGCAGAGGTTAGCACAGTGCAGTGATGCGATGAGGTGATGAATGGCAGAAAGGACTGTAGTGCTATCATGGCTGAGTGGACAGAGTGATCCTTGTATAAGCTAAAGGTTGTCGGTTCAATCCTTGCAGCACCTGTGCCCTGTGAGTTGTTTTACTGAAAGGAAATCTCACTGCTCACTGACTGTATGTAAGAAGGCAAAATCAATATTTTATTAATGATGACCAAAACTACTGTATTCCCATCAGTCTCATCTGGTCTTTGCATTCAGTAAGTAACCAAGTAACACATTAAGTTAATACTGAGACACAGTACCTGTCAGACATCAGTTTTCCTTTCTCAATACATGAAATTATAAAGTTAGCATTGTCCTTGTGAGCATATCAGTATGCTAAATTTATCATTTAGCTTAAAGGTCAACTCTACTGCTATTTGGTCTGTTGTAATTCCCCATTTTTTTAATTTTTGTTGTGACTTGTGTCTTCTTCCATTAGCATCCTCAGACCAGGGAAGGGTTTGATAGCAATCTGACTGGAAATAATAAACACAAGGTTAAAATGTATTATTTTGATTAGTCAAGAAAGAATTCAGAAATCTGTTATGTTCCAGAGAGCCAGTTTTTGGTCCATAAATATCTCTTGACAGATCAGTTTCAGAAAATGAAATCCTGTATTTTTAAGACCTACCACCTGAGTTGTCATGCTATCATTTTTTTCTAAAGGAGGTCACTAGGAACAAGGCAGCCCACATGAAAGATAGTTTTAAAAGGCGAGATGAAACACTCCCACCCAAACTGCAGTGTGGTGAAAAGGACAGAGGGCACCAGAGGACACAGTCATCGAATCACTTTCTTCTTTTTATTTTATTTGATATCAAATCTTTGAAGCACTCTAAAGTTGCCTATGGTGAAAGATCCCACAGATCTTGTGTTAAGTTTTGACTTTAATCTTCTAGTCTGTTTCATTTCTTAGAGTCCAAAAGACTCCGGTCAAGTTAAAGCAATGTGTTGAAGGTTGTAAGCAGGGACTCGGTAGCTGCACCTTTATTTTTTAGCAAACAGAATGACTTTGATACATTGGAGAGTTGTCTCAGTTTAACAATTAAGACACAGTATTTCAAAATTAGGCCTTTAAATATTAGAATATTAAGCTAATACATATTTTGTTCGGTTTTGTAGTGTGCACTTAGCCAAAAACCTATAGCCAGGTTTTTATTTATACATTCTGTACTTGCAGACAATTAGGGGATTAAATGCCTGCCTGTTTCCTGCTATGTTTTGTATCTCTTGAAAGATTTCAGAGAGTTATGAATGCTTTATCAACATGGTGCATTGTACTTTTTTCCACATGGCATTCACATCAGCATACTTTTAACTTTTGTTCTATGCAAAAATGCTTCAGTTTACACATATTTAAAATAGACAGCTCATTTCTATGGAAGCCCGTTTCCGCCACAAAAAAAAAAAAAAAGCTAG